TTTTTTTTTTTTTAATGTCAACATATGATAACCAATGTAGTACTGGTATTTTGTGTCTATCCACTATTTGCTGCCAATACGAAATGGTAGACAATTACTTTACAATCTATTTATTCTTACTCATGAAGATATGTTAAAATGTAAATGAATTCATTAATTACATATCACATTATATTAGAAGCTAAAAGTGGTCAAATTAAATTGTGCTACGTTTCTCATCAGGCACTAAATAAGGGGAATAAGATTCATCCAAAATTTCACAGCCAAAACTTCTCTTTCTCCACTTCTAAGAGTGTTTTCCTTTATTGTGTGTCTGCGCTTATGGTTCAATAAAGTTGTAAACCTCCTCCGGACACGGCTCCCTTGACTATATTTGCATTTAGAGTGCAGAATTTCTCCAGCATGACATAGCGCTTTTAAGACAGGTGGGAGGTGTGAGCCACTGGGACGTGGGGTAAGTCCAATTGCACAGACTTCAGCGATTCCCAGGAAGCCTCTAGAGAGAGGCCGGTCAGGAGCGTTCAATTAAAGGACTGTTATTTCTGCAGCATGGAGAGTCGGGTGAGCTAAACTACAGAAGAGAGAGACAGAGAGAGTTGAGGAGAATGTTGATAGGGAGGCTCATCTCTCTCTCTCTCTCTCACGGGAACGAAAGAACAGACAGAGAGACAGCGGGAGAGAAAGAAGTGCTGATTGGGGTCTGAGAGACTCTTGCCGCTAGATATACAGGGGGAAAAAATGCGATTTAAGAGTCCTTTCTTTCTCTCGATTTGGAATTTTTAGAAAAGTTTAGAAAAGAAAGTTGCAATAAACCTTAAATTATGCATAGCTGAGACCTCTGACTATATCACAAGGGGTCTTAAATGAACATCATTTGAAATTAGATTCTCAATCTCTTTCTGATAAAAGTGCCAAAACACCCTGCTCAACTAATGGGTTCTTGCTTTAAAGGGATAGTTCACCCAAAAGTGAAAATTCTATCATCATCAACCGAACAGTTTCTGGTCCCCATTGACTTCCATAGCATTTTTTTTCCATACTATGGATCAGTGAGGACCAACAAATGCATGGCTTCACACATTCTTCAAAATATCTTCTAAGTTCAACAGAAGAAAGAAATTAATGCAGGTTTGGAACAACAAGTAGGTGAGTAAATGATGACAGAATTTTTCATTTTTGGGTACACTATCACTTTAAGGAGATTCCCTCTCAATAAATAAAGCTGGATTTGACCTTAACAGACCAGATCAAACTGGATTCACCTGGATAACCAATAGACACTGGAAATGTGCTGATAAGAAAGCATCTCTTTCACAGCTCTGGGTCTAGATAGTGAGCGACCTGAATTCAGGCCTGTCTAACCAGTCTAGACAAGCCAAGAGGAATGAGAATGGTGCTCTCTTGCATCTATTAGCTTGACCTGAGCAAATATAACAGGATACAGATTTTTAGCTTGAGATTTAAGATTCTAATCATCTCACTATCAGCTTTAATGAGCATAAGAATGCATAAGAACCCACAGAAGAAGATAGTTGTGAATCGAACTGTTAACATGTTAGTTTTACTAGCCCTAATTAATATAAATATTGACAAATTATATCATGTATGAGACATAAAATAATTAAATTATATATACACTGAAAATGTGGTCTAAGAAAACATCAGTGAGGAGAGATTATCGATTGAACTGAAAAGCTAGTAAAAAATGAGGCCTCAAGCTCAGTGACCACTATAGAGGCTTTTATAGAGAAATCGGTTAGTATGTAAAAACAAATGTCACCTTTTTGAAGAGGCGTCCTGAGTCCTCGCTGACCTGGGCGAAGCGTGGGATGATGTTGTTGAGGTAGAGATCGCTGAGTGTGGCATGGTCTCGACTCTCTCTCTTCACCTGAGCCAAGAGAAGGTTCCAGCAGTTGACTGGAGACAAGACATTCTGCTCTTTTCTGCAGAGAAAAGCAAAGAAAAAACACATTTATTATCATTCATTATACAGGAGAGAGCAGAAGAATCAGCTGAAAGAAGCTGTTTTTAAACGGTTTATATGATTTTGCAGTAGTTGCAAATGATTTTTTTTCGGACAGTGATTCAATCACAATACATAGGCTAATCAAAAGGAATCAGAGGGATCATTTAAACATAACCAAATTATTCAGTCAAATCATTTTAAGCAAAATAGATTTAAAATGTTTAATATAAGAACTACATTTAAAAAAAAATATTTCTTAAATAAACAAGGTATGTTTCCCCACACATTTTAATACAGAAAACAAGGACTTTTGTAAACATTTTAGAGTGATGATGCAAATGAAATTGAATCACTGATTTGATTTAAATCACTGAAATAGTTTGATGCTTGGAAAAACTAAAATAAAAAAATTTAAACGGTTTGCTTCTGTGGTTTAAACACATATTGTTGTTTAATTTTATTTCACCAGCAAAACCATTTCAAATGCATTATGAATATGCATTACTTCTATACTGACCACACACACACACACACACACACACACACACACACACACACACACACCACGTTCTATG